GAGTGGCACACGCACGTACATATCCGAAAGCAAAATACCCATCCATGTCAAATTAAACATGAAGGTTTGGGGCTTTTGTGGGGGTGGGGTACACAGGTAGCACAGGTTGGCCTTGAACTTCTGATCCTCCTGCCTCTACCTCCCAAGTACTGGAATAACAAACATGATTTTGCTGCAAAAGTAGATATAGCAGTGAGACCTAGAACATATGGAATACAGAACTTTTGGGTTGGCAGCCATCATGCTTGAGTCCAGAACTTGGGTTTTTACCAAGATACTCAGTTTCAGCTTCCAAAGAGTGTGTCTGTGTTCTTAGAACCATGACTCCTAGACCCTAGGAGTCGGAGGAGCCGAATGTCAAACATGGGGCCTCGTGCATGGTGGGCAAGCACTCACCCTCTGAGCCACACCCTCGCCCCAGGCAGTAAGACTTTTGTGGAGTGGGGAAACTTGACAGATGTTCAACAGTCAACCCAAAGTGGCCAACTTCCACCTAGTTAAGGATTTTGTACTGGCAGAGCTAGGGCCGGGATGTAGTTAGTTGCTGGGGCTCTTGCTTAACACACTCAGGGCCCTGGCTTCTGTTATGGCTGATAGAACCAAAGGCAAATGGCACTGTCATTCCCAGCCCCAAGAGAAGGCAGAAGTCATGTTCTTGGGTACCATTCACCAGATGCATACCCAGCCCGGTGCCTCTGTTCTGGGTAGTTTTTGAAGACCAGTCTGTTGGCTTGTTGGTACTCTTCCTCACCCTGTCAAAGGTCAGAGTAGGTCATAAGAATACACAAAAAAGTTTTCTGTTTTTAGGTGCCAAGCCTTGTGTATGCACTGGCCACCCACCTGAGGCAAACACACTGTAGGCCTTTACTATTGTGTCAGCCATGGTCACTAAACCTAGGCAGAGCAAGAGTCAAAGTCCTGTGACAATATGGGAAGGGACGGTAGACTTGAAGCTGCTCACTTCATCTGAGCAAGGAAGACTCAACAGAGACATGAACAGGAAGTAGGGGGTAGCCAGGAGCATCACACATTCTGAGAACTCTGCTGTGGGCTCCAGCAGAAACAGTGGAGGATTTGGGTTTGGAGACAAGACAGCCCCGAGGACAGGGTTCTTATAAGCCTACATCCTATGTCCCTGTAAGCAAGGGTGTGTGTGTGTGTGGGGGGGTATTCAGCACTCTGAGCACCTCTGTAATGGCCACCATGGCTTCCTATGGCCCCGCAGCTTCTGGAGTGGATCCGACGCACCATCCCCTGGCTGGAGGACCGCGTGCCTCAGAAGACCATCCAGGAGATGCAGCAGAAACTGGAGGACTTCCGAGACTATCGGCGTGTTCACAAGCCCCCCAAGGTGCAGGAGAAGTGCCAGCTGGAGATCAACTTCAACACCCTGCAGACCAAGCTACGGCTCAGCAACCGGCCTGCCTTCATGCCCTCGGAGGGCAGGATGGTCTCGGTGAGTTTACCCCATCTTCCTCAGGGCCCAGGGCCATCACCTAGCAGACCACTCTAGGGCATAATGCTTGGCTGGCATCGACTTAAATCAGCCTTCAGGGCAGGGATGGTGAGGGTGTGCTTCACATTGCCCTGCTGTTTGTCCTGAGGTTTTACACCCACAATTCTCTGTATTGCTACCCCCAGCCATAGCACAGCTTGTGTGGACCTTTTGAATCTGGAGCTCGAGTCTGCCAGGACTCCAGAAGTAGCAAGTGTCTGAGGTCTTTACAAAGGGAGGGACAGCAGGACACCTTCATAGTGTCCTCAGCCGCATCCATCCATTGATTTGCCCACCCAGCACTTGTGCTGAGAGTCATTCAGTTAGACCCATGTAATCAGGGTTTGTGTCCTTAGAGAGATGGTCAGTGGTGAAGGCATTTGCAGAGGGTCTGAGTTCAGTTCACAGTCTCCTGTAATTCCTGACTGAATGACTAACAGGCCCCCCCCCCCCCCACACACACACACAGTAGTCCATGCTGGCCTGTGTAGACAAAACTGCAAGGTAGGGTCAGGTAGGACCTTGTGAGAGCCCTGTTCTCTCTGTCCTGCACCACAGGACATCAACAATGGCTGGCAACACCTGGAGCAGGCCGAAAAGGGCTATGAAGAGTGGCTGGTGGATGAAAACAGGAGTGGCTGCTGAATGAGATCCGGAGGCTAGAGAGGCTGGACCACCTGGCAGAGAAGTTCCGGCAGAAGGCCTCCATCCATGAGGCCTGGACTGATGGTATGCTTCCCATGTTCCCTTACTCTGCTCTGAGGTTTGCAGGCACACACAGTTCCTGCTGCCATGTGGACTTTGCCAAGTTCATCCCTTTCCTGGCTGCAGAAATGCTGCTTTGGGTTTATGGCTAAGAATGATTATGGGTTTTGGTTGTGGATTTTGGGTTAAGCAGCAAGGTGGTCTGCTGGCCAGGTCTCTTTTATGCCGCTTTGCTCTGGCCTAAGATGACTTACAGGTTCCTGGACTATGCAGGAACTTTGGAACACAGCAGGGCTGGGCTGATGTGAGAGCAGGATCAGGGGCGTGCGGTTTATGTGGGTTATACTTATAAGTCCCTGGGACTATCCAGGAACACAGCCAAGGCTCTTCCCTGTACCTGCACACCAGCCCTGTCTCTTTCAAGAGCAGTTCCCAGCCCCAGGTTCAGCCCACCACACTGCCTGTGACTGGGTTTCACGCCACATTGGTCCAGATGCATAAGTACCTCTCCAGCCGCCTCCTGGCTCCATGGGCAGATCTGAGGATGGTGCTCCCTGACTCAGTCACCACCCTGTCCCAAAGCCTGCTTCCCAGCAGCCCTGCAGCTGCCTGGCTCTGGCTCAGGATGTAGAATTCCATCACGTCCTTGGCCTCTGCTTCAGACTCACTCCATCACTGAGATTCCAGATTCCCAGGAGACATAAAGGCCTCAGGAAATGCCCATGGGAAGTCACAGGCAAGCCACGCCACGCCACACTCAACAGAAAGCTGTCACTCTGTGGTGGCCCTGGGTTCAATCTCTGATGCCAAAACATAAAAGCCCTCCAGAACAGACCTCCCTTCCCCATCATTGCCACGCTGTGGATTTGTGTTTCCTTGCCTGCTGTGTGGTTTTCCATCCCTCCCACACCAGGGCTTCACAGGGAGTCCCCTCGACTGTGGGCATATAATAAGCCCCAGCTGCAGCCAGATGCTGAGACCCCTCTCTGGAGACACTGGGCACCTGCATAGCCCACGCAAGTTGCATCTGCCCAACTTTGCCTTCTCTGCCGAGGAGAGAGTGCAGGAGGGCACAGGGGACATGGTGAGCTGACAGTTAGGCTGGGCCGGGCGAAGGCTCTGCCTTCTGCCTCAGAAACGGTGCCCCTTCACGGAGGGCGTGATGGCAGCCTCCTTGGCTATGACGCCACATTCAAGGGAATGGGGGCTCTCATTTAGTTAATTCACTCACTTCTTCAGTACACATCTCTAGCCAGATGTGGCAACTCAGACCTGTAACCTCTGTACTTGGGAAACTGAGGCAGGAGGATTGCTGCAAAGTCAAGGTCAGCCTGGACTACAATGTAAGATCCTGTCTTGGGAATCCAAACAAAATACCCCACACATGCTGGTGACTCTGAACCACTTAGCTGTGCTTTGGCTCTATGCACTGTAGTTTTCCAAGTGGGTAAGCCCTGCCGAGAGAGGACTCAGGCATGCCTGCTTGCAATTCTGCCGTGAGAGCCCCTAAGTATGTAAGGAATGCCATAACACCTGTGCCCCACACATAGCTAAGGTATTTTCTGCTGTCATTTTCTGAGGTGTCTTGCCAGATTATCCTAGATTATCCTCTGGTTCTCACCAAATGAGCTGCAGTACCTAGCCCAGGTCTGTCAGAGACCTGGGCGG